CCCCAGCCCCTTCCCACCTTGCCTCACAGGGGGAGGCACAGGGGAGGTGATGGCCAGGGAGCCGCTGGCTGGGCTACCATCTTTGCATTCTGGCTGTGTCTCACCTTCCTCACCAGCTCCTGCATGAACACAGGGAGGGGGGGATTTTTTTTTTTTTTTTTTCTGGAAGAAGAGTTTTCTGTGGGCTTGGAAGTCCGTTCTCCTTCGTGTGTGTGTTTGTGCAGGTGCATCCGCCAGCCCTGCCAAAGTGAGTAACTTTGATGTGAACGTTTGTCATTTTGCCTTTGTTGTCGCCGGGTTGTGACGGTTTGGGGGTCCTCAACCTGTTTGGGGTCTGGGTCTTGCAGTTGTGTGGCTTAAACCAAATGGGGTTTGGAGGACCAAGAGGATCCGTGTCCAGGCCGGAGCGTGGCTGTGTAGGACGGTGTCACTTTGAGGCTCTGAGATCTTTGATCAGATTTTTAATTCCCCGTGGCTTTTCCTCCTGAGAGTTGCGATGCTACTGGACACAGCACCCCGAGGAGGCTGGGCTGTGGTTTTGTGGAGCGTTCTGTAAGCCAGGTGGATGCTGTGCCAGGAGCAATGCCTTTGCTGTGCACGAGTTTATGACTGGACAAATCCCTGCCTCTCCCCATGGCTGTTGGGAATGCTGAATTCTCCTAAACAACGTCGTTCTTACGTCGTGTGTAACCACTGAAGCGCTCAGCTGGGAGCTGGGATCTGGCTGTTCCCTGTGTTCTGCCCCGGGGGCTGAGTTTTGGGGAGGTGAATTTCTCCCTTCCCTGTGGGATTGCTGCCGGTGATCCTTGTCCTGCGCTCCTGGAGGCCTTGCTCCCCTCCTGTGCCTGGTTACTCACAGCCTGCAGGAGAGTTTCTTGTCTGTGGGGGAGTGAAGCAGCGTGAGGCTGTGCCAGCTAAAGGACATGCCGGGGGAGCCCTCCCTTGTCACATCCAGCGTTTAAATTGAGCTTTACTCCCCTTTGAGCTGCCTCTGGAACCAGCTGCATCCTGTCTCCCGGGCGTCACATCCCTCTGGTGTCCCTGGTGTGGGAGCTGAGCTGGAGCTGGGGATGTGCTTCGCTTAATGAAGAGAAACTGCTTTGCCCTTCCACTTGTGCTTCAGGCACCGAAGGTGATCGGCACCTTCCTCCCCAGGCTCCTGTAGCAGAACAGCAGAGAAAGGGGCAAGCAGCACCTCCAGGGCCAAATTCAGCTGGGTTGTGGATGATACGGTGACAGACCCTAAATTCCTGGTGCTCCTCGGGCACCTCAGGCATCTCCCTGTTAAGGTCAGTGGGGAAGACTGGGGGCAAGAAACACCCACAGCGTCTTTGGCTTGTTTTTGGCAAGGATTAGCTTTCTCTCAGCTAATGTTTTTTGAGTCCTCTTGATGTTTTTTGCTGGTTTAGGTTTTTTCCTCTGCCCCTTCCACCAGATTTTGTTTTTTACCCGTCACAGCTTGGTTCAGTGGTGGTGAAAACCGTCTGCTGACGGGAGACTTTAATGTTGTCTGGAGGGGCTGAGGGGCGTAAGGTCTCGCTGGTGGTTTGGCAGAGTGTCCTGCCCAAGCCTGAGAAGGTGGCAGGGGGACTCTAACTCTCTGTCTGCAGAGATGCTGTGGAGGCAGATAAATTAGCCATGGCACTCTCCCCAGACATCGTTAGGTCATTTCTTCGAAAGTGCCCAAAACAGCTTCCAAATCGTCGAGCGAGGATCTGAGAGGAGGCAAAAAAAAAGCAAAGTTTACCAGTCGCCTCAGGTGCGTAGAGGCAATGGCTCTTGCCAACAGAAACATCACAGCAGTCCCTTGCTCCTGAGCATCAGCTCCCACGTGCTCATGCCCCGATGCAGGAGAAGCACCCTGAGCTGTGGGACGTTGTGTGGCCCTGTGCTCGGGGTTGGGGTGTGATCCTCTCTGCCCCCTGTGCCGGTGTTTTGGGCGCTCTGATTTGAAGGCAGGTGCTGCTGGATGTGCCTTGTCCTTCCTTGTCAGCTCTCCAAGTGCTCTGAGCAGGGGGCAGGGAGCCGTCAGCA